ATTCATGGCTATCTAATTAACCGATTAATGCATTAAGTAACTAATTAACCAATTCCGTGATATAATATTGTAACGAATATGGCCATTTGCTAGGCAAAGGTTCGGCAAAGCCGGAATAGCAACATAAATGGAAGTCCTTTTGCTAAGAACGGCTCACCATTTTCCGTTACAACGGACAACAGGCCGAAACACGAGCTGTTCCGTGTGGTGGCCTCTATTCGGTCCTCCCGAAGTTGTAAAAGAGAGCTCATTCGTAAATTCAATTCGTAAGAGACTTCAGAAGGCAGTTAATAGTTGAGTGTCCAGCTGTGGGGTGTTGACCAGCGGACACTTGAAGCTCAAGAAGTGACTGACCAGTAAATCAGAACCAAGTCAGAGCCACGCAGAAGGGAACACACTCGTAGTTCAGCAAGGAATGGGGCGAGTCTTAGGTAGGCCGCACACCGGTCTGAGTCATGGTGCTGACGTCAGCTTCATGCTGACGAATCACGAATGAAGCAAGACCGCGTCTTTTGTCTCATGTCTTGATGCTTGTCTTGACGCAGTTGGTGTGCGGCCGTCCTTAGAGAGTCACTTATTGTGAGCTGTTACAGCTGATTGTAACTGTAAAGAAGTGCCAATAAATTCAATCATCTAATCCAGAATCCGTTATTATGTGTCACGAAAACCCCAGTACGTGGCAGTGTTCCTTAAGGAGTTGATAATTGGTTAAGCTGGTCAAGAAATATTCAATTTTATAGAAACTGAATGTTCAACGCTGTTTTAATCTAACCAACTAATTAACTAACCAACAACTAACTAACTACCAAGTTAGTTAGTTAGTTATTTAGAGAGGGTGGGTTTCCCCATGCACCGCGACCAGTTTGATCTATTGTGCTTCCCTCTATGATATTCTACCAGTCTCTTTATCCTACCGATAAATGGTGCGTACCATCAGTCCCGCGAGCAAGCGAGTTCGGCCACTTGCTTAGCGGTGTCTATAATGCCTTCCCCATCTATCAGAGGCCTTAGAGACTACTGTTGGGCGGGAAACGTCCTGGAATTTGGCTCAGTGATCCTCTTTGGGGATATGAGGTTCTTTTACGTGCCGTAAAGTTACGACACCGGACACACAGCTTAAAGTCCCTCCCGGAGGACTTGTTCCCTGAATTTTTCCGCCCTTAAAAATTCGACGACTTCCGCCGGGTATTTGAACCCGCGTACTACGAGTCATGAGGTGGGAACGTTACCTCTAGACTACGGAGGCCGCTTAACTAACTACATAACTAACCAATGAACGTATACGGAAACTAGGAGATTCATTTAAACTTTACTATCCAAAGCGAATTTCATCCTATTCTATTCTAAATTTAATCGAAGTTCGTCACGTAGTCTTTTAGATGAAACTTTTTGATGTTCAGACAGGCAAGACCATCTTATTATTTAATTTATTGTTCTTCAGATAGCAAACACAAACCAAACACGAAACACGGAGCTTCGCTCAGTTCGCGGAGTAAATTCCCGACTGAGGGCAGAGTTTGCCATACTCTGCTGGTCTGTCGGACCCAATGCAAGTCTCATGGGAGGTGACAGATGAATACGGGGTTACTGGAAGTAGAAAACCAAACTACACGAAGTCAGATTTTATCAATGTCACCCAGTCTACTGGAAACTTCAGATGGACTGTTCTGGGATTGAACTCCGAGCTCCGCAGAGAGAAACACGAGCACACGAGCCCGACTTTTGGTACACGCCTTTGCGCACAACATAAATACCAATGCCACGTGCTGATTGCTTTAACTCGCTTCTTCCTGAAATACAAACTCCAAGACTACAGCAGAAACTGTTGTGCTAGCTGTCTGTCTCTCTGTCTCTACATATACCGCACGGCAAACCCAAGGATCAGGTTCACAACTCGGTTACTCTTTATCGTCTTTCATATTGTTGAGGTGGGACACCACCTCATCTTTTTCGAAACGCATTTCGAAAAAATCCTGATGCCTACACGTAATTTCCTTTTACTTATGCCGTATTAAAGATTTGCAGTGGTATGCATGTAGTTAGCAAAGCGCAAGGAAAATGATTTGCTTTTGAGTAGGTGTTATTTGTTATCTTCGTCAGTAACAGAGTTTCTATGTCTGTTCAATGTGATATCTGTGCTGTTCATTATCTTTGTCAATAGAATTTCTGTGTCTGTTCAATGTGATATCTGTGCTGTTCATTATCTTTGTCAATAGAATTTCTGTGTCTGTTCAATGTGATATCTGTGCTGTTCATTATCTTTGTCAATAGAATTTCTGTGTCTGTTCAATGTGATATCTGTGCTGTTCATTATCTTTGTCAGTAACAGAATTTCTTTGTCTGTTCAGTGTCATATCTGTACTGTTCATTATCTTTGTCAATAGAATTTCTGTCTTTGTATAGTGTGACATCTGTGCTCTCACACAAATGTTAAGATAAGGGTATAAAGATAAAGTTGAGACCAATACGATTGTGAGACCTCGAGGCTCCCACATTCTCTAGACAGTCTGCTCACAGATGGAGGCCTTACGCGCCCGTCGCCCTTTACCCCCCAGGAAGATTCTTGGTACTCATTTCTGTTAGAGGCTGAGTCGACCCCAGGGACACAGTGTGCCTGGAAGGATTAGATCAATTGAAAAAATCCACCTCATCGGGACTTGAACCCGCGACCTTCCGGCTTGTAGCCTAGTGCCTCAACAAAGTACGCTACCGCCTGCCCCATTATTATTATTATTATTATTATTATTATTATTATTATTATTATAGTACCAACGGTACTTGAACCTGCAAGGCCTAATGCTTGTAACTTTCAGGAGCCTGATTAAACAATTGGTTAATAAGTGACTCATTTCCTAACAAACTGACTAGAACTGATTTACATAATTAAGAAACTAGCTAATTAAATGAATGATTAGCTGACTAACTAACACAAGAGTTCTCAAAATTTGTGATAGTGCAACTCCCACCCCCACGTAAAATTTACATAAATTTACCCTATCCCAACACTCTTATTTCTGTCGGTCAGCGAAAAATGAAATTCTGAACATCGTTCGAGGTTCATACCAGACAGTACGGTGATAAAATCAGCATAAATTAGACCTACAACCTCACCACGTCTCTAAAACATGTGAAAATAATTTCGCTTTCTGCAGCTCCATTTCCGAAAGCACCCATTTCCATCTTGCTGACTTGTCAGACTGTGCTTGGGTACAACTATATTTTAAATAATTATTGAGAACTCATTGACCCCAATGAAAATAGAATTCAACTCTCTGGGTGGGTCGCGACCCACACTTTAGAAACCATGAATTAAGCCCGTATCCCTATTATTTCTATAGCAGCTGTTATTGAGTAATTTGCTTGACATATTTCATGCAATTCGAAAATTCTGTAATAATTATTATGGCAAAGTCATTTAATTTAATTTTATATCTTTATAACCCACATCTCTAATATCTATTTTAGTATTATTATCCCCTCTACAAGAACCGGAGCACCTCAGTCAGTGTGGGGACTAGTTTCTGGGACGCTTGACTGAGATTCCCTGCACGGGTGGAGATTTTTCTCCCCGTTACCGGGTTCAGACCGTCCCTGGGGCCCACTCAGCTCCAAATTCAGCGGATATCCGTGACGCTTTCCTAGGAATAAAGTGGCTAGAGCGTGAAGCTGTCCATCCCTTCCACCTAATGCTGAGGTTAAGCGTAGTTTTTCATGATGTGGGACAACTACACCATAAGCTTTAAAATTATAGAAGCGACAACAGGGATGATTTGTGTCAGAGAAATTATATGAAATCATAACAACTTATCAGTTACAGGATAATAGCTTTAGCTAATAAACTGGATGAATTTATGTATTTGTATGGACCACTACATTTCGGTCTTAAATAAAAATCAACTTTTAATATATTTTCTTCCAAGTAACTACATAATATAGGCCGCGCCATAGCTCAAGCGGTTAGTCGCTGGCTTCCCACCACGGCGGCCCGTGTTCGATCCCGGGTCTGGTCAAGTGTGATTTGTGGTGGACAAACTGGCGCTGGGGAAGGTTTTCTACGAGTACTTCGGTTTCCCCTGCCAATCTTCATTCCACAAATTGCTCCACAATCACTCTCACCTATCATCTTGGGCTGGTTCAATAGGCCAGAAGTGGTCGCAGTGCAAAGGACTTAGTCCCACCGCACAAGCAATAAAAAAACTACATAATATAATTTCACTACTGAGGTTTTTAGTGCAAAATGACTGCTAATGGTGTGTGAACTTGTAGTTCGTGCGGGCGGTAGCGGAACAAATCCCTCTGCTCCTTCCTGCCAACATTAGAAGTTCATTTTTGAAAGCGTAACTCAAAACTCAACCTTGGTTTTGTATTAATTAAGACATGAAAGCGTAATGTTACAGAGAACGGGTGGACACGGGTCATTGCCTTCTGAGTGCCTTCATTCTAGATTTATCCGTAATCGTTTGTCATAAACACGAAAGAAGTTCTACATTCGGTATTAGCGCAGTCGGGATAGCGATTGGTTAGGGGCTGAACGGCCGAGGGGTCGGAGCTCGAGCCCCGGTAGGGGCAAGGCTTTTCTCCTCTCTACATTGCCCAGGCCGGTTCTGGGGTCCACCGAGTCTCCTATTCAGTGGGTACTAGGGGCTCTTTCCTTGGGGGTAAAGCGGTTGGTTCGTGAAGGTGACCGCTCATCTCCAACTAGTTCTGAAGTCAAAATACGTGGATCTATAGATCCACTCCCCCATACGCCTTCATGGCGTAGTGTTTAAATAGTTAAGCACAGGGACAAGTTTTCCATCTGTTACTCAGTCGTCCCCACTAACGTCGACTCAGCCTCTAACAGAAATGAGTACCAGAAATCTTCCTGGGGGTAAAGGCTGACAACCTCACCGCCATCTGTGAGCCTATGTCTAGGTAATGTGGGAGCCACGATGTTTGACCTCCACGGCCTATTACAGGTATAACTTTACTGTTTACGTTTTACCTTTAGTTCGACTCACCAGGTTGAGAGGGTGTATGGGGGCCACTTCTGCCACCTCGTCCGTGAGGATGGCCCTGAGGTGCGCGATGTAACTGGTGGCAAGGCGCAGCGTATCCAACTTAGAGAGCTTCGTGTCTGCCGGGACCCAGGGCAGGGTGGTCTTGAGACGACAGAACGCTTTGCTGAGGACTCGCATACGCGCGCGCTCCCGCGCGTTCGCTGCGTTCCTCTGCTGCGGCTTTTCGCGTGTGCACATCCCATCTTCGTCGTCACAGAGGTCCGGGCTCGATCCTCCACGAGATCCACTCACTGCACCACGTCTTCGGCGAGGCATTTCCTGCCGGACATAGATCACTGTTGCACTGCACCAAGTAACGCAATCACGGGCCATGCATCTATGGACAATATTTCTGATGATCGATAGTTCAGCCGATAAATCAACTGGCTCCTATGGTCGGGTGTATTTGGGGATTTTTTATGTTTAGTGTTTTCATGTCGAGATTGGCACTCCAACATGCTCAGCCTCGTATCGGATGTTTTCGTTTCATGTCTCTAACCTGAGTTCTTTTGCATGAATTTTAGAAACACAGTAGACTCCTATACAGCGTGTACCAAAATTATTGGAGCTGTTTCAAGCGGCCATAACTGCTTTGGAAACGTACGCAGAAGTATGTTTCCCACATGGAACGAAACGACAGGTATTCAAGTTTTGATCGCATGCATAATTCCACTCCTCCCTCTCTCGATCCCTGACGTACGAAAGAGAAAATGGCGACACCGATGCAGAAAGCGTTTTGTGTGCTGCAGTTTGCAAAGTATGAATCAGTTGTTTCTCTTCAGTTGGCCTTCCGGCCACAATTTCAGAGTGATACCTCATCTGCCAAAAGCATTAGGCGTTGGTATTAGCAGTTTCAGAAAAGGGGGTGCCTTTGTAAAGGGAAAAGTGCAGGACGTCCGCATGTGTCACAAGAAAGTGTGGAAGGAGTGAGACAGTCTTTTTTTCGCAGTCCGAAGAAATCTGTGCACCATGCGAGTCGTGAACTGGGGACGCCGACTGAGACTGCATGGAGGGAGGGTGTTGAGAAAGAGATTGGAAATGAAGCCCTATCGACTTCACTTGGTGCAGTTTCTTCAGTCATTTTGTGCATGGTATACAGCCAAGCATTTTTATCATTTTGTAAGATTTGAAATCTTCTCGGGCGTTCAGACGTGTCAGTGTTGAACTAAACACCGACGTTTCAGAGATCTCTTCGGTCTCCATCTCAGGGTCGATGAGGACACATGGGTGTTCTCTGAGACGTCGGTTTTTAGTTCGATATTGACACGTCTGATCACCCGAGAAGATTTTAGCATATTTTTACCATTTGTTATGTCAGATTAGCCAGTCACGGTGGCCGCGCCGTCTAATGCATGAACTGTTTTCGCTTGCTCAAACGCAGGGATCTTGGGTTCGAATCCCACTCGAGGCATGGATGTCTGTATTAGTGCTGCTCTGTGTGTAGGTAGCGGCCTTGTGACAGGCTAATCCCCCATCCAAGGAGTCCTACCGACTGTGTATAGAATTAAGAAGCTGACAAAGCGTCCAGGGTTCAACAGAAAGGACTAGAGAGCCATAGATAAACAGATAGATAGACAGATAAACTGCCCAATTATTGTGTATATATTGAATTTGTTTCCTGAGCATACTTAGTCATACCGACAGCTTTCTTTCCGGATTGGTTGCCTGTTTCGAAGCACTGTGTGTGCCACCACGAAATGAAAACGGAAATAAATTAAATAGAAGTACATAGATTATGTGTATTTTTGCTGTGTTGATTTAAGGGGAAGGAACGAGAAATATGGCTCAGTCGGTAACGATTTTGACTTGTACACAGGAGATACACGATTCAAATCTTGGCAGAGATGTTGTCTATTCTGACTGAGATCTTCTTTCGTGATTTTTCCCATTGTATGTAGGAAAATGCCGGCATAACACCTTAAATGAAGTCACGACTGCGTTCTTTCACATGCTCTCAACTCATTCTTCGCTGGTAGTTACCGACAGCATAGACAGATAGGTTCAGGACCGGGTTTACAGTTGTGCGTGCCCCTGACTATCCAAATGTGGAAGCCCCTAACAATAACGACAAATTTGGGTTTGATATTTATTTTTTTGTTCATACTTTTTGCAGTAACAGAGAATGAAACTACATTTTCTTGATTTTAGAGAAAAAATATTTGAATGAAATTCGTGGATTCATTTTACATATTGTGGGGGTCCCGGAGCGTCCCCCCCCTTACATCCGGCACTGCCTCCTCCACTTCCTATGAATGGCTAGCCTTCTCTTGATCCTGGTATACTTTTCGGTTCTGTTGAGTTTGCATGGCCTTTACATCGTTTATAATTTACTTACTCAGTCGTGGACGCATGGGATCTTGAGTGCCAAATGCAAGTCGCAGACTGATATTCGTCCCTCAGTATTACATCTGAGTGGCCACTGATATCTTTGCAAGACACGTCTTGAAACGTTACGCCTCTTCACACATAAATAAGTAGCAAGAGTCCATCAAGTATAACTAGTTTACTAGGAGTAAGTATAAGTTTTGCCTTTACATCTTTCGGCCATTATTGGTCATCATCAGAAGGCATAGCCAACACTTTAGAGGAACTACTTCATGAGAAGGCATACCCAGTCCTATAGAAGAACTACTTCATCAGAAGGCACATGTAACACTATAGAGGAACTACTTCATCAGAAGGCATAGCCAACACTATAGAGGAACTACTTTATGAGAAGGCATACCCAGTCCTATAGAAGAACTGCTGCATCAGAAGGCATAGGTAACACTATAGAGGAACTACTTCATCAGAAGGCATAGGTAATACTATAGAGGAACTACTGCACCAGAAGGCATCAGTAACACTATAGAGAAACTATTTCATCAGAAGGCATAGGTAACACTATAGAGGAACTACTTCATCAGAAGGCATAGCCAACACTATAGAGGAACTACTTTATGAGAAGGCATACCCAGTCCTATAGAAGAACTGCTGCATCAGAAGGCATAGGTAACACTATAGAGGAACTACTTCATCAGAAGGCATAGGTAATACTATAGAGGAACTACTGCACCAGAAGGCATCAGTAACACTATAGAGAAACTATTTCATCAGAAGGCATAGGTAACACTATAGAGGAACTACTTCATCAGAAGGCATAGCCAACACTATAGAGGAACTACTTTATGAGAAGGCATACCCAGTCCTATAGAAGAACTGCTGCATCAGAAGGCATAGGTAACACTATAGAGGAACTACTTCATCAGAAGGCATAGGTAATACTATAGAGGAACTACTGCACCAGAAGGCATCAGTAACACTATAGAGAAACTACTTCATGAGAAGGCATAACCAATCCTATAGAAGAACTGCTTCATCAGAATTGAATAATACTTCATCAGAAGGCATATGTAACACTATAGAAGAACTGCTGCATCAGAAGGCATAGGTAACACTATAGAGGAACTACTTCATCAGAAGGCATAGGTAATACTATAGAGGAACTACTGCACCAGAAGGCATCAGTAACACTATAGAGAAACTATTTCATCAGAAGGCATAGGTAACACTATAGAGGGACTACTTCATCAGAAGGCATAGCCAACACTATAGAGGAACTACTTTATGAGAAGGCATACCCAGTCCTATAGAAGAACTGCTGCATCAGAAGGCATAGGTAACACTATAGAGGAACTACTTCATCAGAAGGCATAGGTAATACTATAGAGGAACTACTGCACCAGAAGGCATCAGTAACACTATAGAGAAACTATTTCATCAGAAGGCATAGGTAACACTATAGAGGAACTACTTCATCAGAAGGCATAGCCAACACTATAGAGGAACTAATTTAGGCGTGTTGTTGCTTGTTTTATAACTATTATTAAATCCCTTTACTATACTGCAGAAATAACCCATGCTGAAAAAAGTGCTTAAAGTTATTGCTTTATAATGTCGGTGATGGCCAATAATAGCCAAGACATGTAAAGGCAGACATTTTACTTGCTTCTATTAAATTACATACAATTTATGGGCCTCTGTTATTTATTTGTGTCTACTGAAAATTTTAGCTTTATGATTTTCACTTCCTCGCAAAATGCGGGAAAGCGACACAGCCGAAACAGTGATTAAATAAATGTATGTAGTGTCAAAGAGGTATTCTTGAATGCTGTATGGAAACATTCTGAACTTCATCAACACAGCAGAACTTTCCTGTATAATCAAAGGAGGGGTCTCGCCTTCAGCAGTCAGTATAGTCGGAGCCATATATGCATCTGTAATCAAGTACTGTCAGCGGGAGATAAGAGGGAAGTTTAAAATAAAAATGGCGAAAATATATTTGAACTAAAACTAAAATAAAGTAGAAAGTAGGAAATGAACCCATCAAACCAAATCAAGAGACGAAACTCAGAAACACAGGTGCAGAAGAAGGATACAAATAGAATTACGCCGACGAAGGTTGTCTCATGACAACGGAGCTAATCAAGTAGGCTCCTCGCCACCCTTTCACCTGAGAACAGACCCGGTTTCCGAAACATTGGGTCCGTTTTAGAACACTAGACAATGTACAAAGCCCAGAAACTTAATAATACCGCACTATCAGATCTTTGCAGTATTAATAAATTATTGGTTAACTGATTTATGATGAAATATTTACAATTTTCACACCCCTGTTGTTTTCTTACCTTCAGTTCTATGCTTATTTTTTATGTTCAGACCCTCTCTAGACTCTAGCTATGGAATATATAAAATTTCACTATACATCTTAGAAACAAAATCTAAATAGAACATGATTACTACAATAACATGGCACACACACATGAACACACACACACACACGAACTACTCTAAGTGTCTCTGATAACTACTGTTGGCTCCTGAGGCAAAGCAGACAAATCCCGTGACGAAATCTTCCAACTAGCGTGACCAGCAATTAGCACATGCCAGAAAAGGGGGGGGGGGGTGAGATGCTGCGGGTCCATGAGAGAGGGTCGCGAACCCAGGAAGGAGGGCGTGGTTTCCAAACGTACGTAATGGGCCCGGGAGAGGCTGGATTGGTCCAGACATCGATAGAGTTTGTGTCATTGGTAGATCCGTAAGCTGTAGATGATTACATTAGCTGTTTGAGTAGAGGGTGCCAGGGGAATCGAAGTAAAACGTCTCAGGGAATACAAGGCACATTTTCATATTACGTTTTATAATAACCAATCCATCACATTAAAAATATTTTCCATTATTACTATCACATTAATTTGACTTATATATCTTCTTCCTCTTCTTTTCTCTTTCCATTCTATCCTTTTCTTTCTTTCTTTCTTAACCGAAAGGAAATTTAGAGTGGGGGACTTTCCCGTTTCTTATTCTCTGGTTTCCTGGTTCAAATCTGGGTCTGGCGACCAGCTTTACTGACTGAGTTGTTTCGTCTTTTTCCTCAGTCCCTTAAGGCAAATTTTTGGGTAGTACCTCGAATTCGTCCAGGTCCTCTCCAATTCATTATTCAATATTCTTCCGACAGTTCGACGGTTTACCTGCAGTTTGAGCTACTGACAACTTCGTTAAATAACCCGTAACTCAATAAATGAACATTTTCTCCTTGCCTTGTTGTCTCTGTCTGTATAAATACATGGACACAATTGGCCGCTCTGTACCACAAGAAAGCAAAGCATTACAGAACTTTCTTAGTCTTAAAAACAACTATATTAAATATAGAATATTTTCTAGAGCCGGGATAGCGTAGTCGGTTTAGCGACTGATTACGGGCTGGACGACCGAGGGGTCGGAGTTCTAGTCCCGGTAGGGTCAAGGATTTTCTCTTTTCCATATCGTCCAGACCGGCCACACAACCTCCTATCCAATGGGTACAGGGGGCTCTTTCCCCGGGGGTAATGCGGCAGGGGCGTGAAGCTGACCACTTACCTCCAACTAGTGCCGAGATCAAGAAAATGTGGCTCTATACATCCACTCCCCCATACGCCTTCATGGTGTAGTGCTTAATTAATTAAGCACAGGGACAACTTTACCGTTTTACCTTATAGAATCTTTTCTACGTGGCCAACCAATTGAGAAGACATGTGTAACATCACATTTCGATGTATTTTAAAGTACCTATTTTGGCATGGTGCATGAATTATATGCGAAATGAAGAGGTAGAGTCTGTCCACCCGTATGTTTTACATCCGAAACCAAAAGAGTTTGATGAAATTCCATATTGAGTGTCCCAGCAGAAATATTTTAGTGACTAATTTTGGTGTGTGCTTCGCATGATAGCGTCTTATGGGGTCGTGTATACAACGAATAAATTGATACTAACGTACCAGCATTCGTTTATGTCGATCATCAGACCATCATCATCAGGCGAATTTACAGAAATGTGGTTTTAGTCACTGAATTGTTCTCTTAGTATGGATCCAGCGGGTGTTACACAAAGATAGCGCTTAGGAGACTGCTGCATGACGCGTAGGTAGCTGTTTTACAACAGATTATATGTATCACACAGACTTTTAAAGGAATATATTGTGACGAATATGACCTTTGCTGGGCAACGGTTCGGTGCGAACGTTCCCGTTGCAACGAATAGGAGCAGTAACAGACGAACTGTTGGAGGTGGTGATGTCTCTTCGGTTGGCCCCAAGTTACAAAAGAGAGGTCATTCGTGAATTCATGGATGGATTGATACTCAAGAGGCCGATCACGGCAGCCGCGCGGTGTAAGGCATGAACTGTTTTCCCTCGCTCGGACACTGGGATCGTGGGTTCGAATCCTACTCGTGGGCATGGATGTTTGTGTGTGTGTGTGTGTACGCGTTTATTCTGTGTTTAGGTAGCAGCCTTGCGAGGGTCTGATCCCTCGCCCAAGGGGTCCTACCATCTGTGAAAAAATGATTACGGAACTGATTAAGAAGCCTGGACCCTGAATGTGGTAGAAGAGTCATTGGGGGAAAAAAAAATCGTGAGGGAGTTTAATGTTTCAATCGCAAGAGAATTCAGCTGTGGAGTGTGAACCAGTGGACAGCGGAAGCGGAAGAAGTGACCGATTCGTAAATCAGAACCGAGGCAGCCGCAGTGGAAGAAAAGACGCTCGTAGTACAGCAAGGAATGGAGCAAAACAGTCACTGATTGTGAGCTGTCATATTTAATTGTAATTGAGAGTGACTCTAACAGCCAGCGTCCAGTAAATCCAACCATCCAATCCAGAACGCGTTGTTATTGGTCACGGAACACCGCACACGTGACAATATTGAAACACATTATAAATACTGTATAACTCAATTTCAGATATGGTCCAGAAGTAAAAGAATAAGACAGAGACTCCCAAGGGGACCCCCTCACGTTGTTTCGACCTACGCCTTGCCACCTAACAACGACCATAACAAAACCCGACGGAACCTAAAAATATCGTAATCCTTCCAGCCGCACTAGACCCTGGGGTTGACTCAGCCTCTACCAGAAATGAGTACCAGGAATTAAATAAATAATTTTCCTGGGGAGTAAAGCGCGGCCGGCGCGTAAGGCTTAGAACCTTACCACCATCTTTGAGCCGATTGTCTAGATCAGCCGTGTCAAATATACGGCCCCCATAGCCACAAAGTGCGGCCCCTCAACTTTTAGAGCTAATTGATATTAAAATCAATATTAAAATTTTAGTAGAAATATTTTTTATAAAGACAATTTTCTAACAGACCAGAAGACAAGAAGTCTCATGCAGACATAAATTAGCAGGTGCAGGAAATTCAATGTTTTGCTCTTTATAACATAATTTCTTGTGTAATCTCTCTTTTTACATATTGAAAAGCTGTTTGATACTTGTCAAAAATGGCATTCTCTTGCTTTTTCAAACTGTAAGATATGTGATTTTAGGTAATATATTGAAATTATTCCTAAATAATAAATAAAATTAAATTTCCTTGTATCAAAATCTAATGTAATTTTTATTTTTAAGTGCGGCCCTGGACTATTATTTATAGGGCTGGGGTGGCCCTCTGTACAAGTTGAGTTTGACATGCATGGTCTAGATAGTGTGAGACCCTCAACGTCTCACAACCCTATGGCCTTCACGGCCTGGTACAGGGATAGCTTTATTTTTTTTACTTACTTACCTAAAAAATTCGAGTTTTTAAGCTATTTTAAAATCAATTATTAAAATCAAAGTATAATTTTTGTAATTTTAAGATTAAAATTATATTAATATTAATATTAATCCAAACCATATATTTAATTTTAATTTTTAATTTTAATTTAAACAAAACTGTGTATTTGTTAGATTATATTTTAACAAAAGTGTGTGTTCGCAAAAACAAGTGGCAAAATAAAGTAATAATACGGGCCCATATTAAGAAATATAATTCAGCGACTAAGATCACATTTCTGTAAATTCGCCTGATGATGATCTTCTAAGGGTCGAAACACGTAGCGACGCCTTTGCCAAATAAACGAATGCTGGTACATTAGTACCGATTTATTCGTTGATATTCGTTGTAATTTTTGTGTAGACGGTCCCATGAAGTGTGTATTCTATGACGCACAACATGAGCCTTCCTGCTCCCTCGGGAACGTGACCAAACTTTTCATAAACTTATAAACAATTCATGTGAGACATTCCATAAACATGCTATTTAACTAAATCAACCACAGTGGCCTCACGGTCTAAGGCATGAACCGTCTTCGTCCACACAAACACTGGGATCGTGTGTTCGAACCCCTCTTGAGGTGCGTTTATTCTGTGTTTGTGTAGGTTGCGGCCTTGTGATGGGCTGATCCCCCGTTCAAGGAGTCCTTCCATCTGTGTAAAAAGATCAAGAAACTGAAAAAGCGGCCAAAGTCCAACAAAGGGCCGTAGAAGCCTAGATAGATAGACATATATAGACAGAGATAGACAGACAGGCAGCGAGACAGATATATACCGTATTTACGCATGTATAGGCCGCACATTTTTTGCCAAAAATTCAAGAGGAAAACTGGGGTGCGGCTTATATTCGAAATATTCGAAATCACACTTCATTTAAAAAAATTATATTCATAATTAGTAATACAGGGTGTAATACTCCTGAAATAATATTCCAAGAAAATTATTTTTTCTATACTTTCTGTCTGAAAATTGTGCTGCGGCCTATACACGCACGCGGCCTATACATGCGTAAATACGTATATATATATTTAAGAAACACAAGAGTAAATAACTTTTGACTCGATGAGAGGTGAAATTTGTAATCCGATTAACTACGTAATAATAGAGCTGCATGTACAATAAATGGGCACCAGTGCCACTGGTGCATGCAGAACCTCGTAGAATGTATCGGCAAGGCTTCGATCCTTTACCCCTTGGTGAGCGCATAGGAAGTCACGAACAACCTGGTGCAGAAGTTGTCACTGTTGTGGCCTATTAGAGAAATCCCAGCCCATACCGAAGTTCTGCTGCTTTCTTCGTGTTCCCCGCTCTGGGATGGTGCATTGACATAGGCCACTACCGCTTAAGAATGCTGGAACTGTACTTCCACTCCCCCTTACCTCTTCACTGTGTGGTGTTAAATTAATTGATTCCAGGGACAACTTCACTTCTACCGTTTTACGGGCTCCACGACTGAGGAGTCGGGGTTTGATTAGCACCAGTGGCAAGAGTTTTTTTTTCGAAACGTCCAGAGTGTCTCTGGGGCTCATCTGGCCCCTATGCAGTGGGTGCTTGGGGCTGTTTTCCCTGGGATAAAGAGGCCAGAGCGTGAAGCTGACCCATTCACTCCCTCTAGTACCGAGGTCTACTCCATCATACATCTCCATGGCACGGGGCTTAATTATTTAAGCCCAGGGATAACTTACTTACAGAACCGCTGCTTTCGGCCTCCTTCCCGAATGATTCTTTCATTTAGTGTCTACTTTCGGTCTCTTATTCTAAGTGG